CTTGTTGAGGGCTGTTGGGAGGATAAAGAGGGCTGAGAGAAGATGGGTGTTTGACAAGATTTTCTTTCAGGCAGCTGGAAGGTTAAAGTAGGTTGGTGGGAAATTCATCCCCACAAATTCGTCCCCACAGGTGGGGCATTGCTGTTGTTCAGTCATGTTGGACTCTGTGACCCCATGGACTGCAGCACGCCAGGCTTCCCTGTCCATCACCAGCTCCTGGAGCTTGTTCAAACTCATGTCCATCAAGTCAGTGATGCCATCCAACCACCCTCTGTCGTCCCCTTCTCCTCCTGCCTTCAATCTTTCCCAGCATCAGGGTCTTTTCCAGTGAGCTGGCTCTTCTGGCCAAAGTATTGGAGCTTCAGCATCAGTCCTTTCTATGAATATTCAGGACTGGTTTCCTTTAGGATGGACTGGCTTGATCTCCCTGCTGTCCAAGGGACTCTTACAGTCTTCTCCAGCACCACAGTTCAGAAGCATCAGTTCTGTGGCTCTCAACCTTCTTTATGGTCCGACTATCACATCCATACATGACTACTGGAAAAGCCATAGTTCTGACTATATGGACTTTTGTCGGCAAAGTGATGTCTCTGCTTTTTAATACACTGTCTAGGTTTGTCATAGCTTTTCTTCCAAGGAATGAGCATGTTTTAATATCATGGCTGCAGTCACTGTCCATAGTGATCTTGGAGCCCAAGAAAATAAAATCCACCACTGTTTCCATTTTTTCCCATCTATTTGCCATGAAGTGATGGGACTGGATGCCATGATCTTAGTTTTTTGAATGGAGCCAGGGGGAAGGAGACAGGAGGGGGTGAAATGTCTATGGAAAATGGAGGCTATGACCTCTTGCCTCTTCCTAGCCAGGGATTGGCAGTGGTGGGCAGGATGTGGTCATTTGACCCCTACTAGGCCCTACATGGGGCCTACAGAGGACCAGGCTGACATGCTTGGGGGACACAGTGCAGGGAGGAGTGCTGCTGCCTGCATTGGGTTGAAATACCAGCAGGAGTGTTCATAGGGTGGACTTGGAAAGGGCTTATTACCAAGCAGAACCTCACCTGCACCCTGAAGGGTCGGCCCTGAGGCTGCCCATCTTCTGCCTTTGAACTAGTCTCCAGGGCCACCCGGTGACCCTCCCCAGTCTCTCTCCCAGGGTGTACCACACCAGCACCATCTCCAGCCCATCTAGCAATCCCCAGTGTCTCTCCCACCCGCTAGCGAGCTGTGGACGAGCTCACTGGAGAGAACCACAGGGCCCTGTGGCACCCTGGGTCTGCATGTCCTCAGGCTGTGTCTGCAGTCTGTCTACTCCGGGACCTCTTTCTTGCACCTTCATCCTTTGCACTGGCCCTCATCATCTCTGTGCACGTCAGATTTTGCTGGCTAGAAAGTGGAATCAGCACAAGAAATATTTAATAAGACACTTAGATTATTCTGAATTAATGAACGAAATGGATTCCAACATGGCTTCAGTGCAGGCAGTGATGATCTTGCCAACAAGAGTCTGGAGGCTCTGGGGTTGATTAGTTTATTTGGTCAGCAAGGGCGGATCTTTGCACCAGCTCCTCTGGGATTCTCCTTAGCTCTTTCCTCACAGTCTCACTTTGGCTGCTACATCTCCTCCCATCACATTCTCCCTACCAGGTCGAAGGAAAATGGTGATGATTGATTTCCACCACCCGCCTTCCTTTAAAGAGATGAAACTTTCCCAAACACCACCTGCCTCCTAAACAGGCCTCCTCTCAGCTCTATTGGGCAGAACTAGGTCACGTGTTCTCCCCACTCCCACCAATTCCAGCAGAGGAAGGAGAGGGCCATGCTTGCTTTCCTCCAGTCAAGATTCATCCCCTGGGGATGGGCCTACTTTCTGTGAGCCCATTTCATCAGGAGACCAGGACAGTTGACATTTTATGTATTAGTATTTATTGCATTAGGCATAGAAGAAATAGCTGCTGGGGGAAAGAGCAGCAGTGTTTGCAATGGGAGGCAAGAAGTTCAAGCACCAGAAGCCGAAGTAGAAAACAGACTGTACGGTGGAAAATACTAACAGGAGGGTCGCGGTGCCAGCAAGCGGGGCTGACGTCTCCAAGGATGAGTGCATGACAGCGAAAGGGCAAGTGTGTGGTGGGGACAGGCATGGGTGCAGTGCCAGGACATCTACTGTTACCAGGCAGCAGTCACCAGGCAGCCACTGCTGAGAAGCAGCCAGGGTGATAATTAAAGGCCTGCTAGGCCAATGGTCAGGGGGGGGTGGTGGTCTTCAGGCAGCGAGGGAAGTAAAAGGCAGATCCCAGCCTTCACCCCGGAGCCCTCCTGCTCAGCCTGCCTCAGGCCAGTGGATGGGGGTGGGGGACAGGCTAGGGGCTCTGTCCTGCTGGGCTCCAGAGCCCTCGCCAATGCTGCCTGCTGGCCGGGCCCAGGCTGAGAGGCCGCAGTGAAGCACTCCCCAGTCCCCACACTGGGACCGAAGGACAGCAGCAGTTTGCCTGGTGGGCCGTGCGAGGGACCTGACCCCCTGCTGTTTGGAGGGCCTGAGGACCAGCTGGGTCCTGGGTGCCTGGCTCCCTCAGAGATGACAGCTGGACAGGGTCTGGGGACCTGGCTCCAAGGGCAGCACCAGCTGAGATCTGCCTCCTCAGCCCAGCCTGGGCACTAGTGTGAGGACCCAGACTGGGTGCTCGATGAAGACTCCCGGGCAGGGTGACCAGCCCTAGCAGGGACCACCTCCTCTTAGCCAGGACCTGGACCTTGGAGGGCGAAAGTTGAGCCTTGAGACCTTGTCTTTTCTTGTCAGAACAGAGGATGGCATTCATTTGGTAGAGATTTACAGGAACACTGTTATCTGACCATGACCTGACCTCAAGAAGAAAGGATCTGACACCAGGAAGTTTGCAACGACTTACCACGCCTTCTCTCACTTTTCCCAGGAAAGGGCTTTGCTGAAACCTTTGGGAAGTTTGGGGTTTTTAAGGTGGGAGCCACGCGTCTCCTCGCATCGTGCAGCAATAAACTTTTATCTGCTCCAGATTCCGAGGATTGGGTACCGTTTGGCCTCGCTGTGCCAGGGGCACACAGGCTCACCTGCACAGGAGTGCCGGGATCCGTCTAGGGAGCACACACCGGGCCTGGATTGGGTACCGTTTGGCCTCGCTGTGCCAGGGGCACACAGGCTCACCTGCACAGGAGTGCCGGGATCCGTCTAGGGAGCACACACCGGGCCTGGATTGGGTACCGTTTGGCCTCGCTGTGCCAGGGGCACACAGGCTCACCTGCACAGGAGTGCTGGGATCCGTCTAGGGAGCACACACCGGGCCTGACCAGATGGGCCACCCATTTGTTTCCTCTGCTGCCCCGGACTCTGATGTGAGCCCCGCCCCTCTTCCCAGCATCTCACCTCCTCTATCCTTCTCCACACCTCCTGCAGCCCATCCCCCTGCACACCACCTCTCTTTCGCTGACCACCTCTCCTCCATCCGCTATCAGACGCTGTCAGAAGCGAGACACCAAAGGGAGCCGTTGGAGCGTCAGGATCCAGGCAGGTTCAGTGTCACCATGGCAACCCCTGGACGCTCCCCACCGCCCGGCTCTCAGATGCACCGCCCCGCCCCCCAGGGCCCCAGGGAACGCGCGGGGAGCGGGGCGGGGCCGCATCTGGAGGGCGAAGGCGAGAACCGCCCCACGATTGGCCCGCGGCGTGTAGCGGCGGAATCCGCCTGGCGATTGGCCGGCGGGGCGCGTGACGTCACAGAGAGGCGGGGTGACGCAGGGCGGCTATAAATGCGGGGCACTGCCCAGTCTCCCAGGGAGAGGAGAGAGGAGAGCCGAGATGGCAGTTTTGCTGCAGCGGCTGCTGCTGCTTCTCCTCCTCGCCACCTCTTCGGCCGTCCTTCTGGCGACCAGCGTCCATTCTTCCTGCCCCGGGCCCCTGGCCCATACCATGCACTCCACGTTCATGTTCGCCGCAGCTTTCGCTCCTCTCTGCGGGCTTGCGAGTCCGCGCACCCGCACGCGGCGGCTGGCACACCCGCTCCCGCTGACAGAGCTGGCCCGACTCCTCTCCTTGGTGTTCCCCTCCCGCAGCGGGAGATCGGGCGCCGAGAACTGGAGCACAGGGGACCCCCAGACCTCCGGGGTCGCACATCGGCTCCGCACACGCCAGCGGAACGCCCCCGAAACGCGCCTGGCCTCCAGCTCGGCGCTGAGCAGAGGGCAGCCTCCAACCCCAACTCTGAGGCTCCTCGACCTTGGAGCAGCGCTGTACAACAGGTTCAGGTGTTGTAGCCACGCCTTCCGGAAAACCAATGGTGGAGTGCAGTTTATTACACCGGCAGGCCCAAGGCAGAGTCTCCTCTTAGCCAAAGACCCCAACCAGTTTTTGTGAAAACTGTAGATACACTAAGTGTCCTTGCGCAAAGCCACCTCCCCAAATTCCTTAAAACTAGTCTGGAAAAGGTAAATAGAGATACCATCGAGGTTAACCCATGATTCATGTGTCATAAGCCTAGATAAACAGTGGACATTTATCAATAGGCCTGTGGTCATACCCTGATAAGCATAATGGGATTTACAACTTTGTTCTGTTAGAGATAATTAGCATATTCTTTTAGGCGAGGAGAGTCTAGGTACAAGTCAGGAGGCTCCTTCATCCAGGGGGGATCTGGTTTTCCATTGGTATGCCATTTCCATAGATACTGGGCATATGGCTCAAAGTCCACAGTCCGGCCCAAGATGGAGTCCTGCTTTCAAGATAGAGCCTGTTATGTTTCCTCCTTCACAGGGTCTCCATCTGGGACTTCCTGCTCCACCAAGGACAGCCGCTGACTCATAGGGAGAGTTCCCAGGACTCCTGCCCATGGCCAGCAAACCTCTCAGTGGGCTCCTTGCAGAGCAGAGGGCAGCCACAGACCAGCGGTCACAGGCTCTTGTGTCGTGACCCACCCAGGAACCTTAAAACCAAGGTCCCCTTGGACTCCAAGCCAGGCAAAGGTCATCCACTAATGCACACTGGGATTCCCCTGGCCCCCGCTGAGCCTGGGGGCCCTACACCTCATCTTACTGCACTTGAGTGTCCTCCCTTGGCTGGACAAGCCTCATCCCACGGACAGCCATTCCACAACATCTGGGCAGTTGCATGTTCTCCATCCAGGGTCCTCACCTTGGATGCCCCGCTGAGTAGGATACTGCCACTTACCAGCACCAACAGGCTCTTGGGTGCCCGGCAACTTGGGGAAGCAAAGTCCAAGGTCTCTGGCCTAGTCTCCCCCCAGGACAAGGGGCCGCCTTCACATCCAGCTGGGAGTGTCCCTGCGGACCCCTGCCCACCACCCAGCAAGCTGCCTGCAGTTGGGGCCCCTCTCAGCCAAGGGCCACCCAGGAGGAGCAGACAGAAGCACAGAAACCCTCATCTTCTCGTGGACCATGAAGCTGGGGTCCGCGCTGAGCACTCCCTGGTCAGCAGAGAGCAACAGTCCCCTCACAGTAAGAGCCCCCCGAAACACCATCTGCCTGCACGGCCTCCTTCCAACCTCTCTGCACCTGACTGTGCCTTTGGTGGGGGGCTGCCCCTGGCCTGCCCTCAGAATGCCACGTGTGCTCGCCCACCTGCATTCTCCAGCCCCTTTGTTCCCAAGATGGGCTCCCCACTCAGCCAGGGGAAACCTCCCGTCCGCAAAGAGGCCCGCCTGCATCTCCTCAGCCCTGCAGACCCTCCCTCCAGGACTTCCAGCACTGACCCTTCACCCCGTCCAGGGCAGTGGCCAGTCCCCAAGCCCCCTCATTCAGGACACCACCCACATGCACGCCGGAAACCCAGCCTGGAGCTTTCCCTTAATGTCCCTCAAGTCCTTGTCTGCCTGTGGCCCTCGGCGCCTCTGTTGGTCCCAATGGAGCTGGCTGGAAGGGGCTGCTACCTGGTGGAAGAGCAATACCTCATCCCTGTCATTGTGCGCCCCACCTCTGAGCGCTCCTCCCAGAAGCAGCGCCCAGAGCCTGCAGAGAGTGAGAAGAGAGGCCTCGGAATCCTCCTGAAGCCGCCAGGCAGCCTTGGCCCCCACCAGCTCCCTGTCGCCCCGGGGACACCCCAGCCCCCAGAAAGGGAAGGGCCGGCTCCGGCAGCCCCTCATCACCAGCAGCAGTTCAATCACTTGGTGAGGCCGGCGGGAGACTGGGAAATGGGGATGGAAGAGCCACCTGGATCCGAAGAAGCGCGGCATCCTCACCCAGGCGGGAGCACCCCGAGACCACTGGCCCAGGCGGGCCTCGGCCTTCCCCCGCCGAGGCCGGGCAGGTGGCTGTCTGTGCAGGCGTTGCTGGTGGCTCTGTCGCTGGGAGGCAGGCTTGGAAACGCCAGCGCCTCGTGGCCTGCGCTTGGAGCGTGCAGGGTGTGGTTCCCCTGGTGGGTCTCAGTGCTGAGGTGCTGATGGGCCGCGGGCCTGGAGACCTCTGGCCTGGGACCAGGTTTAGCTGGCTCTTCTGGTGCTGTGTCAGCTGGGGTGTCTTGATCTTCTGGAGAATCCTCCCTAGAGGGCGAGAGGGATGCCCTGCCTTCGAACAGGAGAAGCTGGAAGAGCTGTCAAGTGGAATAGCTGATGCTAAGCAGGGCACCCGCGGACTTGTCCCGGCAGCGCCCCAGGCCCCCAGGCCTCAGGCCCCACGTACAGAGGACTCGTTGGCTGGGCTGAGGCTGCTCAGGGACAGGTCCTCCCACCTGGAGGAGGAGGTGGAGGCGTTACAAGAACACGCCGAGCACCTGGGGCGGCAGGAGGCCCGGGTTCGAGAGCTGGAGGCCTTCTTCCTCACAGTCTGGAGCTTCCTGGAAGCCTGTGCCCCAGGACAGGGTCACAGTACGAAGGCCGGTCATCCATGCGCCCCCCCCAACCCCAGGAAGGAGGCCTGGAAGCGGGGGCGGAGCTGGCCTGACCTTCACCATGAGTTCTGAATAAATAGTTGTGTTAGAAGGCAGTGTCCCGTGATGGTGGCGTCAGGATCGCGGGCTGCTCCAGCCCACACGTGTCCTCACCCTCCAGCCAGCCGGGTCCAGATGGGTCTGAACTGCAGATCCCCCAGGCTCACAGCCAGTGCTGGGGCCACTCTGATGGGAGGGAAGCCAGCAGAGGGGGGCCGCACCCAGGGATTCCAACAGAGACCCTTTCTGGCAGAGGCATCCCAGCCAGTTGGTGGCAGAACTTGGGTTTGGACCTCGATGCTGTGGCAGCAGGTGCCAGGCTAACGCAGACCTCCAGGGAGCAAATGTGGGGGGGGGGTGGCGCAGCGACGCCAGGCTGAAGATGGGTTGGGGCACCGGCTGCTCTGGGTTAGTGGGGACAGAACATGGGGGCGCCACGGCTCGGACAGCCTGCTCTCGGTGCCCCCAGGGGCGGTGCCCAAGGCAGTCCCAAGACGGAGGATTGGGGTTGAGGGTTGGGGGAGCTGCTGGGCTGTCCACTTAGCCCAGCTTCCAGGCCTGGGACGGAAGGAGCTTGGAGCCCAGGGGAGCTGCAGCCTGGCCAGGTGTCCGCATGGCGACGGAGCATGGTGGGCCCGCGGCTTGAGGCCTCACCCCCCCATCAGGGGTCTCTGTCATGGGCACAGAGTCTGTGGGCTCATGGCTTCAATTCATTCTCCAGAACTGATGAGGTATGGCTGTGGACGATCTCGGCAGCAACAGCCAAACGTCCTGACCCGCTGACTCTGGTCCCTCCAGCTGTGCACCAGGACCTATCTTTCCGAGAGGACTGGGCGGTCTGGTAGCTCCAAGGCCCGGCCCCCGCCACCCTCCAGGACTCACCTCTGATGGCACGGTGGGCGGGACCACATTGAATCGGGTTCTCTGGGCAGCTCTTTGGGGTTCCCCTGGGAGCGATTGCTGGGTCCGGTGTCACTTGCTGAGCAGCCGCCAGCCTGGTTTCCACAGCAGCGGCCCTGTGTCTTTCCCGCTTGCAAAGTGGGCGGGCTCCGGCTTGTCCACACCTTCACTGACACTTGTTACTTTGTTTTTGGATGATTTTGTCTTTTTCTGGCTTTGGATTCTGTTCCTGGCAACTGGAGGTCAGGCTTCTTTATCTACTCATCCTTCAGCCGCATGGATGTAGGACATGTCTACAGGAGAAAAGCAGGCACGTTTTATTTATTAATAACAAAATTCTACATGGGCGTGGGGGTCCTCACAGAACAGTGCCCTGAGAGGTGCTGAGGACTAGGTGTTACTAAGTAGATGGAACAGAAGAGTGGCGATTTGGGGAAAGAAGCGGAAAGATCCGTGGCGGGGGATTTCAACGTGTCTATGCACATCTGCTTGCTGAGTCCTCGCCCAGTCACCCCTCTCTGGTGTCCTCTCGCTGCAGGAGGGTGTCCTCCACACGGGCTCTCACCTCTGCTTTCAGAAAGACAATGGCCATGAGACCGCCCTTCCGGCACCTGCCGTGTCTCGAGTGCCTTTAACACAGAAGAGCTCAAGCGCGACCCGCACTGCTTGGAGCGGCACGTCTGAGCCCGCCCCAGCGGTGCTGAGCGTTCTTTGCTGTCCTGGTCGCTGTTCCTCTGTCTTTTTTGGAGAAATGTCACTTCGGTCTGTCCTTGTCACCGAGTCGAAAGAGCTCTTTTGTATTCTAGACACCAAATCCGCAATTTGCAGGTGTTTCCCCCATTCTGTAGGTTGCCATCTCCCTTTCTTGATGGTGTCCTTTGATGCACAAAAGTTTTAAGTTCTGATGAAGTGTAATCTTTGTATTTTTACATTTTGCTGCTTGGCGTCATGTCTAGGCATCATGACCGAGCTGAGTCCTCGGTCTCTTAAGGGAGGCTTTGCCCCGGCCTCTGTCCCATGCTCCCTGCTCCAAAGCTGCGCCTCGGTTTCCACGCATCCTGCCACACGGCAGCGGGCACACGGACGTGCCTCGGGTCTGCTCTCTGTCCTCCACTTCCACTTCTGTGGCCACCCCGCCCTCCTCCTCTGTCACTGGCCCCCAGCCACCCCCCGGCTTGTGGGGAACAGGCGCCAGGACAGCTCCAGGGTGGGTGATGGGGCTCCTAGGCTGTGGGCATCTGCAGTAGGGTCTGGGGGGCAGGCAGGCATGGCCTGAGATGGACACCAAGGACCACGCTGTCTGATGTGCCTCCATTTGGCAGTGAGAGTGCAAACCATGCTGGACGCAGGGTCACTTTCCCAGCAGGAAAGGGCTGTATAAGTTGAATTAACCATTAGTACAGCAGGGCCTGGGATTCCCAGGTAGCTCAGCTGGTAAAGAATCTGCCTGAAGTGCAGGAGACCCTGGTTTGATTCCTGGGTCAGGGAGATCCCCTGGAGTAAGGGATAGGCTACCCACTCCAGTATTCCTGGGCTTCTCTGGTGGCTCAGACGGTAAAGAATCTGCCTGCACTGCGGGAGACCTGGGTTCGATCTCTGGGTTGAGAAGATCCCCTGGAGGAGGGCGTGGCATCCCACTCCAGAGTTATTGCCTGGAGAATCCCATGGGCAGAGGAGCCTGGCAGGCTACAGCCTATGGGGTCGCAGAGAGTGGCGTGACTAAAGCGACTGAGCGTGCATGCACAGATAGGAGGGCTTACACGGAGACAGGAAGGGGGACCTGGGAGATTTATTTTGTGAGCTCACCTCTTTCCTTCTTTGTCTCATTATATTCTCTATAAGGAAATTTAAAATTACTGTTAGTGCTCTAAAGAGATTTTCTCAGTAAAATTCTGCCTGTGAGCTAAAGTGGATGAAATAAACAGACCTGTCAGAGTGCATTTAGCATGAAAATATCATCAGAAAGGCCCCCTGGTGGCTCCCTGGTTAAGGGTCTGCTTGTCAATGCAGGAGACACGAGTTGGATCCCACACCCCGCAGGATCCTACATGCCGCAGAGCAGCTAAGCCCGTGTGTTACAACTACTGAACGTGCGCACTCTAGGGCCTTCAGGCTGCACCTTCTGAGCCCACACGCCCGGAGCCTGTGCTCTGCAATAAGAGAACCCACTACCGTGAGAAGGCTGAGCACCTCGGTGACGAGCAGCCGGCAATTGCCCTTGAGCACTAATGAAGACCCAGCACAGCCTGAAACAAAATCAAAAACCAGGAGTCAGAGTGTGAAATGTGGAAAACCTAGAATGAGTAATTACCCCTAGAAAGCAAAAGGGGTATCCAACTGCAGATGATAATAAGTTTAGTTTTATTGTACTTTAGAAAACCATTTTTTAAAGGACTTTTCCAGGTGGTTCAGTGGCTAAGACTTCGAGCTCCCAAAGGAGGGAACCTGGGTTCGATCCCTGGTCTGGGAGCAAGATCTCACATGCTGCAACCAAGAGCTGATGCAGCCAAATAAATAAACACTAAATAAAAACGGGAAAATCGGTAAAGCCAAATCCTTCCTAAATGCGCTGGACAAGGCGGGGCTCCGACATCACAGCTCCCGGTGGGGGGATCCCAGGGGGGATGCTGACAGCAGGGGTGGGGTGGGGGGTTTGATGACAGAACATGAGGGATATTCGTGGTGGGGGTTGGGGGGGTGACAGGGGGTGCGTGGGAATCTCTATATCTTCCTCTCAGTTTTGCTTTGAACCTAACACTGCTCTTAAACATTTTTTTAAAAGTAAAAGTGATGTTAGGTTGAACTCCCAAAGAAATTGTTGATATTTTTCAATTTCTGATCTATAAAAGCAGTAGATTGCCGTATATATGTTTGCCAATTAAAATAGAGTTTGGTCTTTAAAAAGTACACAAACATCTGGAAGGCATGTCCTTTTGTTAGAATGGAAAACAAGACAACAAGAACCATTGGGAACGAGGAGCGAGTTAATAGCAGCTGTGGATCACGGGGGCTTTGGTGAGCACTTCTGCCCATCTGTGTTCTGCGCGCGTGCTTGGTCACTTCAGGCGTGTCTGACTCTGCCACCCTGTGGACTGTAGCCTGCCAGGCTCCTCCGTCCATGGGGGTTGTGAACACTTGTGTTCTTGCAGCAGTTGAAGTGAGTGACCGTCCAGGAGAGCGAGCCTCTGGGTGGAGTGTCTATAAAGGTCTCTGACTGTCCACCTGGGCTGGGTGCAGTAAGCCATCCTCCCCAGAAGGACTGAGACACCGGCAGCCCACACAAAGGGCAAGGACGCGTTCTGTGGCCCAAAGACGGACTGACCTGAGGCAGGAGCAGGAAGCTAGGAGATTTCTGCAGACCGCCGCTCTCAGCCCCCTCCTCATCCCCGCCCCCGCTGCCAGCCCAGGACACACATGTTCAGCCTACAGCATCCACAGAGGCCTGAACAGTGGGGAAGCAATGCCATGGTCATGATTCAGAGGACTTGGTATCTTTAAAATGTCAGTTCAGTTCAGTTCAGTCGCTCAGTCATCTCCGACTCTCTGCGACCCCATGGACTGCAGCAAGCCAGGCTTCCCTGTCCATCACCAACTCCCAGAGCTTTCTCAAACTCA